AGGAGATGCGCCCCGAAGTTCTATTTATAAACACTCTATTGGGAATTTGAGCCAAGGTCATCTGTACCATGGTACAGATTGAGGTAACTGCTTGTCAGAATTGCATTCTTTTGTAATTCCCATTGATATGGTCTCATTGACCCAATTTTGTACACCAAACCGGAAATTCTGGGTGCAATGGCAGAGACTCTGACAGCCAGCTACACCACAGAGGGCGTTCTTTCATAGTGACAGAAATATACTTTTCTCTCTCTGTCTCTCTCTGTCTCTGTCTCTGTCTCTGTCTCTGTCTCTGTCTGTCTGTCTGTCTGTCTGTCTGTCTGTCTGTCTGTCTGTCTGTCACACTCTCACACACATACACACGCACTGTCTCTCTCTCTTTCTCTCTCTCTCTCTCTCTCTCTCTCTCTCTCTCTCTCTCTCTCTCTCTCGCTCTTCCTCGATTTCCTGACTACTCTCCGATTCATCCCCCTTTTCCTCTATCTCTCTCCCTTTCTCTCTCCCACCTTCTCCCCCCCCCCCTTCTCTGTACCCCATCCAACCTCTTTAGCGAAATCTTTCCGCTGTTTTCTCCCTTTTGTCATAACGACATCCAATTAGACAAGAGGACACCAGAAAAACAACCCCCGCACATCACAACCAGAAATGCCACTAGCAATAATCAGGATCAACAACAACAGGTCTTCAATCACCTTCATTACCTTACATCTATGCTTTTTTTTTTTTTAAAGTCAAAAGCCGCTGAGTTTTGCATATTATCATTTTGATCATCTGAATTGTGATGTTTTTTTTCCTTTGCCCCCCCCCCCCAAAAACAACCAAACTCCCAACAACAACCAAATAAACAACAACAACAAAACAACAAAAAAACAAAACAACCAAACAAACACCAAAACCCCAAGGAAAAAGAAGGCGAAAATACTGGAAGTGGAAGTAGGAAAGACGTTGTCTTCACGGGCCAACATAGGCCTACCGTTTTCTGCGGTGTTGTGATCAGTCTTTTCGCAGTTGTACTCAGAAAAGGTAAGTTCAATTCTCGTACGGGGAAGTAAATACAGTTAAGAAGTTCCAGATTTTTACCTTGGTTACTGTATCCCGCTCATCCCAGTTTATGCCTGCCGCTCAGCCCGCTTCCCAAAAGATCTTGTGCGCGTGAAATATTTAACACTAATTCCAAACCAACAATACGATATGAAAATGAAGAGAGTTCGATATCTAGATCTACACTGTGGTTCTGAATTCTGTAACAAGTTTTTTTTTAACGTTTATTTTGTTTCCGTAATGAGCAGTATTCAGAGGACTGAGAGTAGCTCGTAACAGCTGAAAAGTAAAAAGAATAATGATTTATAGTATTAATATAGCATTCTACCCCGATTAAAATACATGATTTCTGAGTGCTTTACAAATACAAGCACAATCCATAAACAGACCCTGTTTGGTCTGTACTGAGTAGGGAAGTCATACTTTGTCCAGCGGAATGTTCAGAAGCACGTGGACAGCCCCAGCTTCTCTTTGAAGACCAAAATTGAGACTTTCAGTAACAATGTCTATATTTCAGTTGAGCCATGAAGGATGACCAGGATCATCAATAACAAGCTTAGAGTCGTCCACAGATGCTTCCTGTGATACAAACGTGCGTCTCCTGGCTCATCAACATTTCAAAACCGGGGTCTGTGGAGTAGCAGTTGGGCGCTTCACTGTAGCGAGCAGACAACTCGAGCTTGATAATCCAGTGTCTCGGTCGTTCAGCTGTTGGAGCGTTGTATCCTTTTAGACTGGGTCGGCCCTGACGGGCAGGGTCGAAAATGTCCGTATATATGACTTAAAATGTGTCAACATGTGCATAAAATGCCAACATAAAATGCAAAAACAATTACCTTCCCCTCCAGCATTCGCATCATGAAAAAAGTACACAACAAGAGCCCAACATGCTCAACCACACACAAAAGTGGCATGAATATCTACTGTGCTGGCCGCCATCTTCTACTTTGAACTCCAGCTGGTAAAAGTGGTATAGTGATAGTTCTCCCGTCAATGTCTGACGATGTCCAAAGCATCTGAAGAGGACAATATTTCTTAAAGAGAAAAGGAAGGAATAAGGATTAGATCTAAGATACTTTGTGGCTTCTACTAGGTCCAATGAGACCAATTATGGCAGAGAAGAGTTTGCCACATTTTGAGCACTTTAAAAGCTTCATTTCCGCGTGTGGGTGTGCACAACTTGCGGGCTTCTCTCTTGTTAAGCATACTTTCTAATTTGTGCAACGTCATGAAAGTGGCAAAAGTAACAAAAATAACAGAGCAAGACTTCAGGAGACTTAGAGATGATTTGATTGCGTATGTTTACTGACATCTCGTGGAGTTTTGAGCACTTGATCGTTTCAAACCATGATCTAACTCGTAGTTTTATGAAATAAGAGTCTTTCTCTGTGGCAATTCATACTGCTGGCTGTCATCGCTACTGATAAATACAGCACATGTATATTTGTGTCGCTTCGCG